CCAAATCAGCTGCCACTCATGTAGTTTGATTGGACGTCCGATGTTTTTAGCCCAGAGAGTCATACAGTTTTTGATCACCTCAGTTTCTGTTTCCCAAATTAGTAATTGGTTGTACAGTTTCGTAATAGCTTTTTTCCCTGACTTCAGAATATTTTCCCAGGATGTGGTTCTTTCTTCGAAGCCTATCTTCTCATCTTGTTTGTATGTTTCGCGGAGTTGAAAGTACTGCAGCCATGTCAGATTTTTATAGGATTGAACCAGTTCTTCCTGGGGTTTTAGATTCCATGTATTGTCTTTTGTATTCTTGGTGATTAGATCTCTATAGGTTGGCCAGTGCTACCAACCTAACAGGCGTCTTTGCTTTGCCTCGAATGGCGAAAGCCAAAGAGGGGTTTTTCCATAGAAATATTTCTTGTATTTAGACCAAACTTTTAGGAGGGTGGATCTTACGAAGTGATTTCCGAAATTGGCCTCTATTTTGGCTCTATCGTACCATAGGTACGCGTGCCACCCCGCCCTAAGATTGAATCCTTCCAGTGTTAAGGTGTTTTCTTTTTTCAGAGTGATCCAGTCTTTTATCCAGACCAGTGCACAGGCCTCGAAGTATGTTTTCAGACTGGGGAGGCCGAAGCCTCCTCTTTCTTTTTTGTCAATCATAATGCGGTGTTTGACCCTGGGCTTCTTCCCGTTCCAGATGAACTTGGCTAAGTCTTTGTTCCATTGGTCAAAGACTTTGTTGTTTCTTATTATTGGCAAGTTCTGCAACAGATATAGAATTCTAGGCAGGATGTTCATTTTAATTAGTCCTATTCTCCCTAGCAAGGAGAGGTTTAGAAGTTTCCATTTTGCCAGGTCTGCTTTCACCTTTTTCCATGTTGCCTCAAAGTTGTTCTTGAGTAACTGGGCATTTTTGGCCGTGATCCAGATCCCCAGATACTTTATCTTGTTGTTAATTGTCAGGCCAGATCGTTTTTTCAGTTCTTCTTGCATGTCAGCTGGTATGTTTTTTGTTAATAGTGTGGTTTTGTTCTTGTTGATTTTAAAACCCGATACCGTACCATATTCTTCTAGTTTCTCCAGCCAGCTCCGTATGTTTTTGATGGGGTCGTCGATGATGCAGATGACGTCGTCTGCGTACGCCCTGATCTTATATTCCTGTTTGGCGATCATCATGCCTTTGATGTTCTTGTCTTCTTTGACTGCTTTTAGAAGGGTCTCTAGGGCCATAATAAAGAGGAGCGGGGACAAAGGACAGCCTTGTCTGGTGCCTTTTGTGATCTTTATAGCTTTCGACAGTTGACCATTTATCAGGAGTTTCGCCTCTTGTTTTGAATAAATAGCGTCTATAGCATTTCTAAATGCATATCCTATATCAATTTCTTCTAGCAGGAGCTTCATGAATTTCCAGCTTAGGTTGTCGAAAGCTTTTTCGGCATCTAGGGAGAGTAGGGCTAACTTCTGCTGGATGTTGTAGTCGTAATATTCTATAGTGTTAATTATTGTTCTTAAATTGTCCTTCGTGCTTCTTCCGGGAAGAAACCCGGCCTGTTCCTCTCCTATCCAGTCCGACAGGAATTCTTTTAGTCTCTTTGCGAGGATTGTCGCGAATATTTTGTAATCCGAGTTCAATAAAGAAATCGGTCTGTAGTTCTGTTTGTCTGACTGTTCTGTATGGCCTTTCCTGATTAGTACGATCTCTGCCTCTTTCCAGGACTCTGGGATCTGGCCCGTACTTAGAGCTAAGTTAAGTACTTTTTGGAGAAAGGGGACTAATTCCTCTTTCAGCGTCTTGTAGAAACAGGCCGAGAAACCGTCGGGGCCTGGAGCTTTATTGGCAGACAAGCTAGCGATCGCCTCTGTAATTTCCTGGGTTGAAATTTCTTTATTTAGGGCCTCTCTCTGTGCCTCTGTAATTTTCCCCAACTTTAGTTTTGCTAAGTAGCTTGTGATTTCTGTTTCCTGGGTGTCATCTTTATTGTAAAGGTTTGTGTAGTATTCTTGAAAGTCTTCAATTATATCTTTTTCCTTTGTTAGGTAGTATTCCCCTTTCTTTATTTTCGTAATCCGTTGTGCTTCTTTTTTTTCCCTAACTTTCCTTGCCATCCATTTCCCGGGCTTATTGGTATGTTCGAATTCGAGTTGTTTAATATATTTGTATTTTTTTTCCAGGGATTCAATCTCTAGATGATGTTTCCTTTTTTTCAGCCATTTCAGGTTCCTTTCTGTTTTTATGTTTTCCGGATTTCTTTTTAGTTCTTGTTCTTGTTCCGAGATTCTTTTTTCTAATTGTTTTATCTCAGAGTTTTTATTTTTATTTTTAATCGCATTTTGCTGTATTAAGAGTCCCCTCATTACCGCCTTAAGTGTGTCCCACACTACTAGCGGAGAGATATCAGGTGTGATGTTTTGTTTAAAGAAATCCCTTACCAGTTCTTTGTTTTTCTTTATATCCTGTTCCGTTTTAAGTAGGTTGTCGTTCAGTCTCCACCTTCTGACTTATGCCTTTTTATATATACACATTTCTAGGGAACAGTGATCTGATAGTTCTCTCGCATTTGTTTGTATACTTTCTATCTTAGAAATGATCGAGTTGGAAGCCCAGATCATGTCTATCCTAGTCCATGATCTGTGGCGAGATGAAAAGTACGTGTATTCTTTTTTATCTGGGTGACAGTGCCTCCAGGTATCGCGGAGATCGAACTCTTCTTTGAACGAGATGAATTTTTTGGGGAGCAGGGATCTATCTTTCTTTCTCTTGCTGCTTGGGCTTTTGTCTATGTTTTGGTCCAAGATGCCATTGAAGTCGCCCATTACTATTAAGCTATCATATTCTGATTCTAATAGATTCTCCTTCAAGGAGTCGAGAAATTTTGTTTTGGGGCCATTTGGCGCATAGATGTTGCAAATCAATATAGTCGTATTGTCCAATTTAACCTTTACTGCGACAAATCTGCCCTCCTGGTCCCTAAAGCATAATTCGGCTGGTATGTCCTCTTTCACATATATAACCACTCCTCTTTTTTTGATGTCTGCGGCTGAATAGAACTCTGCCAATTTTCCTTTGTGTCAGATGAGCAACGTGTCTGTTACAAATATGGGTCTCCTGCAATGCTATGATTTGGTAGTTACCTTTATTGATTTTTTGAAAAATTCTTTTCCTTTTACAGACAGAGTTAAGGCCATTTACATTTAAGGAATAGCATTTTATTTGGCGTTCAGTCATGTTCGTGATTATTTATATCCCCCACTAGCCCTTCCTCCTTTTTACCGGTATCCGATTTCCCAGTCGTTCTAGGTATTGTTTCCGCAGTTTCTTCTTCCTTAGAGGGAGAGTCTGGATGGCGTCTTTTCCTCGTACTGCCTTTTGTGGATGGGTCCTCTGTGTTTATGTTATTTGCCTGGTCTTTTAGAAGTAGTAACAGTTCGTTGGCCTTCTCTACGTCGTTGATCCAATACCTTCAGTCGTTAATAGTGGTCATGAGACCTTCCATTCTATCCCATCTAAATTTGCAGTGTTGTCTTTTTAGTTCTTGCGTCAGGAAAGTGTACTTCTTACGTCTGTCCAGAATTTGTTTGGGGATTTCTTTAAGAACCATGATTTTTCCTCCTTCGTGGGTTATTGGGTTTTGATTGGATTTTCTTAGCACCTGGTCTCTGATGTGTTTTCGTGTGAAGCGAACCAACACGTCTCTGGTTAGCTTGTTTTGTTTGGCATAAGTCGATTGGATCCTGTAGGTACGGTCTATTTCTGCCTCCATCCTCTCCTCTGAAAGACCCAACACAGTCGCTAGTATTTTGGTTATTTTGGCTCTCAGGTTCTCTTGTGGATCCTCCTGAAAGTTCCTTAACCGTAGAACATATTTCAGTTCCCCCTGTTGGGTCCTCTCTAATTCTCTTGCCATTTTCTCATTCTTAGCAGCCAGGTCGGTCAGGTTTTTTTGGATTTTTCTTTGTTTGTTCCCTAGTTTCTTGTTTTCTGTCTTGTTGTCATTTATTTCGACAAAGGCCTTGGAGATGTCATTTTTAATTGTAGATATGTCCTCCTTAAATTCTTTTCTGATTAATTCAAGTTGCGCCTGTTGTTTTATCTGGTTTTCTCTAATTGTCTTTAGTTCTTTCTTGTTTTCTTCCTGATTTTCTACGATTTTCTCTGTTAATTTTTGGAGCTCCTTCCAGATGTCCTTCATGTTGACTTCTTCTTGACCTGATCCTCTTCTGCCCACGTTCTTGGGGTCTTTTATCTCTTTCTCAGTCTTGGTTTTGGGGGTGGTCATTTTATCTTGTTACAATGACTTGTTTATGAGTAGTGCAGTTCTATTTTAGTTGTCTTAAAAATTAGGATGCTTCTGACTTTGCACTGCGGGCTGCTTATTACCTACTGTATTTTTGCCTATTCTCAGATATGGCCCCGTGGCTCGGTCAGGCTTCTCTCTCGAGACTCTCCGGGCCCCTAGGATACAGATCCCTCTCTCCCGATGTCACATTCCCTTCCCCCCCTTCCGATAAATACCAGGTAGGGAAGCTGGGGAAAGGTAGGGGTACAAAAGGGGTACAAAAGGGGGACAGTTAGGGGGTCAAATCGCTATGCAGGAAAGAGTCCTCATAAAAGAGTTCGCAAAAGTTCGCGAAAGGGAGTTCCCCCTTGATGAGCTTATGACCTTGTAAACCCCTACTGGTCTTTGATGGTCTTGTCGTTCTGCTGTATCTTGTATGGAAAGGACTCCTGGGTTGTCATGCCCGAAATCTCCCCTCCCTCCCTCTCTCCCTCCGAAGAACCACCTTATGGGGAATTGGAGAAAGTTGGGGGAGGGAAAGGGGACAAGGACCCACTGCGGATAGAACTACAGATATAGAAACACAAGTTCCAATAATACAATACAATAAAGTTACAATAATAAGGACTTGAAGTCAGGTCTGCGCCTTGCTGGTCTTGAAAGACTTGGAGGTCTTACTTGGCTTAATAGTCTTTGGAAAAAAAAGGAAAAATAAGGGTAGTCCTATTATCTAATTGTCCGAAAATGTCCTATTGTCCCCTTAGAGTTATCGTACCTGGTCAGTTTTTTTTTTAGTCTCTTCCCGCTTGAGCTCTGAGTGAGGGCCAACTGCCGCATCTCAGAGTCTTTCTGCGGGTCTTGGTACGACAGTTCGTCGGCCCGCTGTAGTTGCTGCTCTCTGCCGCTTTCCTCTGCTCCGCTCCGCTCCTCCTGCTGTGCTTTGCGGCCTTGGCGTTTACGCGTGCACGTCGCACTCCAACACGTCCTTTGCCGCTGCGTCGATTCTTCTTTGGCTCCTCCCACTATCTCCGGTTCCGGCTTCTCCTCGATCCTCTGTCTCGTCCTTTCCGGCTCACCCCACCTCACAAGAAGCGGCAAGTAGCCCGTGGCTCCCCTGGAGTAAGCCAGAGTAAGCCCTTGGAATCCAGGTTCTTACTCCTTTGTAGCGTTAGCTTCTTTTAAAGCTTGTAACTTGTATCTTGTATCATGTGGATTGCTGCTGCTGCTGCTGTTACAGCGGTTTCGTTCCTTTTGTTGGTTGGCTCTCGAGGAGACACTTTGCCGGGGGGAGGAATCCCTACAGCTGTTGCTTGCTGCTTTGTTTGATTGTTCTTTTGTTTCCCCTCCTCTCCGGAACATTAGTCGTTTAATGGTGTCTTCTACCTTGCTCTGTCGGATACCAAACTTTTCCGTTTGGACGGAGTGTCCATGTGTTCCATATGGCTCGTCAACTTCTTCTTGTTATTTTGTGCTGGCGTCGGGTGGCAGTGGGTGCAGACCTAGGGTCTACTTCTCGCGGTACCGCTCGCGCGCCCCAGTACCTTTTGTGCTACCAGCCGGGCCCATGCGTGCCCCCCGGTATCAATCCACCGGGAGAGGGGAGTAGAAGACTCTACCCAGCGGTTAGCCACGCGAGTTAGCTTAGCGAGCCGGAGCTCTGCTTAGCTGCGTCCTGCCTCCATGAACGCCAACCGGAAGTGAAGCCACTATTTCACAGCATTAGTATAAGCAGAATAGTGGCAACTAACCAGGATGATCACGACCCATTGTAGCAGATCTCTGTAGTTGTGCCACTGCACTGATTCACCACTTAGTGGTCTCACAGCCCTACTTCCTATCAGTAACATAGCCTGGCCCTTCCAAGGTTCCACAGCTCAGTTATGTTTCTTTAAAATAAATGTTTGACAAGTAACTTTGAAATTCCAACTGGCATGCAGATCAGGCCCATTAAATGAGTAAGTGCCCAAACTGTGGCATGATCTAGGGCTATTAATGGAGATGGTAGACCAGCAACAGGTTGTGCATTGCGTCATGTGATAGTGCCACCACTAAAAGTGGTGGTCCTGCTTCAATGTCAATTTGCCATTTTCACGCAAGAAAAACAGGAATTTTAAATATGATGAGATGTCTAAGAAGCTATAAGATGTTAGAAGTACTCATAAATGCTCTGACAAAATGCAAACAATGTGAAATGTCTGTCCTTGTGACAGTTAATATGAAGAATACAAATGTCTTGGGTAAATAATGTTCAAAAATTTCTTTGACTTGCTTTTAACACATAAAATGCACATACAGTCAAATGTCTGCTTTTCACAAGAAAACCCTTTCTTCCCGCACAAAGCAATCATTTCATTCTGATGGTTATAGGAAGATAAGAAAGAGAACATCATCCTTGGAAATTACCACAATAAAAAACACTAGTGCCATTGTCTCCAGCCCAAGTTGTAGAACCCTTCCTTTGAATTGATGGAATATGGTTAAATACAAGATAAAGCATGCAATGCCAAGTTGGAAACACACATTATTATCAGCAATGGTAATGTGAGGTACCTGATAAATGGATGACCATCTGTTCGAGAATGAATTCTTCAAAGGAAAAGCACCAGTTCCCAAAATAATCACTATTTCAATATCAAGCTCATCCAAAGGTCTAATATATTTATTCACAATAAATGTGAGAAGTGTTGGAAAGCACTGTTTCCCTATTTTTCCTATTTTATACTTTTTATGTACATGTGTGTCAGACCTTGATTTTACCTATCATTTCTATCATGAAGTTGGATTGCTACCCACTCACCTTCATTACATTGTTGTTATTTCTGCTGTCACACTTTCTAAGACCAGGGCAGCAGCAACACCATTGAAATAGCATTTAAAACTTAATTGACTAAACCTGAAGGTTTTCAATGTACGTGACAACAATAATTGTCAAAATGTTTTTAAAAAAAGAAAGAAAGAAATCTATTTTCAAGTCAACCAGCATTCAGGATTTGGAGAGGGGAGAAAGAGAGAGAGAGTGCAAGAGAGTAGTCCTAATACAAAGGCTTAACTCCAGCCTGAAAAACCAATATTTCTTGAGTATTATGAAGTAAAAAAAAAATACTTCACGGGTCTTTGCTCATTCAAAATGAGGTGACATCTTATTTTCCAAAGTCCCTTCCTTCCAGCCTTTCAGATTGGAGTGAGGTAAGGTATATTTAACCTGAATGCTTTTTTTAAAGGATTCGTGTAGTTCTTGTAGTGAAACAAGAGTATTGGAATGTGCTCTATGCATGACTAACATTCTTGCCAATACTTTTGTTCCTTGCAAAGTGGAGCTGCTGAGGGTTGCGCTTTCTAAGCCTCCAAAACAGATGAATAGCTTTACAATCAGATCACATGTATATGAACAATTCATTAACATAAATGAAAGGGGAAAGTCTCAACTACAGATACACACACCAAACAAGACAATCACAAATATATAAACGAAACACCCGAAATGTAATGGAGTACAGTAGCAATAAATAATGCAAATAATGTTGAGACTTATACAAATAATGTATGAGAATAAATGCCAAAATAAAAAACAAAATAGATTATAACAATTTCCCAATGAAAGACAAACATTGTCATCACCATCCTCATTTCTATCCCACATTTTTCTCAAAGTTGGGACTCAGTGTGGATTATACTTTAAAAAAACTGATGGAATTAAAACACACAAAATATGAACATCAAAATAGAGTACAATATTAAAACAATTCAAACCTCAAGTTAAAAGAATAATATGCCAAAAGATAAAAATCAATAAAAGCAGTTTAATTGAAATAATAAACATTCCTCCAAAAACTTTGTTTTAAAAGTTTGTTGAAATAAAAAAAAAGCTTAGCCTGCTAATGGCAGAACAACTAAGAGGGGAGCATTTCAGCCTCACTTGGGAAGAAATTTCAGAGCCCAGGGAAGCCACTAAAAGGCCTTCTCTCACATTTCCATGAATCATGCTTTTGACTAAGGTGAAACTTAAGAGAAGGGGCTCTCTTGATGATTGTCAAACATGAACGGAACACTACCAAAATTAGGACAAATTATGACAGCAAGATACACATACATCTCCAGCTGTAAGCAAAACACATTAGATTTAAGTTTACATGTTCGAGTTGTTCACAAAGCTGTAACTGTCTACTAATAGTGATCAACAAATCTGTGATTTCTTATAAAAATTCTTTAGTCACTGGTTACATTTCATGTCATGGTATCCCAAGTACCTTGTATTTTTTGCTGATATGGATGAATTTACTTAGAAGGAACACTCTAAAGAATTTCAGTAAGAGTATAGACAAATAGAAAGGGACACTCTAATGCAGGGGTCACCCTAAGTCTAAAATGACTTGGAGGCATTCAACAACACTAATCCTAATTAACTTGACAATCTCATCAGCCAAAAGCAGGCCCACACTTCCTTTTAGATTACTGGTAAGTTTATGTTGGTTAAAACTGATCTTCATTTTAAATATTGTATTGTTCCTTCATGGGTTTTTTTTTTTGCACTATAAATAAGACGTGTGCAAGGTGCATAGAAATTTGTTCACTTTTTCAAACTATAGTCCATCTCCCCAGTTTCTGGGGGACCAGGAACTGGTCCTCTGTTTAAAAGGTTTAAGGACCCCTGCTTTAAGGAATTTGTCTAATAGAGCAGACTATGCAGTGTTTGCTTGTTTATTTAGGTAACTGCAGTTCCAACATGGCCAAAGAGGTTATCTCACTAATTCCTCAAAACTAAACCAGGGATGAGCTTGCAGCACTTCATTGTTTGGAGGAAGTCAGCAAAGTCATCAAACAATTAAAAAATAAGAAAGCCAGAGAACCTAATTGGATCCCTGTTGAACTCTTCAAAGAAGTCAGTCCTCAGATAACACAACAACTCCACAAGCTCATTGAAAAAGTGTGGATGCAACACAAGAAGCCTTCTGTGTTACCATCACTGCTGCCTACATGTGTATTTCATTTCAGTACTAGTAGATATTAGGCCTGTGCGGTTTTGTTCGTTAATTCGTTAATTCGTTAAACATTCGTTAATTTTAGCATATACGAAACGACAACAAAACATATTTCCAAACCCGGAAGGGTTTATAAATATCGAAACGGCAACCCCCACAGTTTTAACGAGCTTTCGCCCGTTTCGTAAATGGGGCGGGCGGGCGGGGCGAAGGGGCGGCGCGAGCGCGCACCCAGTGAGCCAAGCCCCGACCCTGCCTGTTGGGCGCGAGCGCAACCGGCTCCCGATTGACTAACTGCCCGATTCACAGAATGGTATTATACGTACGCGCATGGAGACAGAGCCGGCGCTGCAGGAATCCCCTCCCCGGCTCCTGCGCTCCGGCTCCTGCGCTCCGGCTCCGGCTCCTGCGCCCTCCTCCTCCTCCTCCTCCTCCTCCTCCTGGCACTTCCTGCAACACAGCTGCGGAGGCCGGTTGTCTCTTTAAGGCGCCTCTCTCTCCCAGCTGTGTTGCTGCCTTAAAGAGACAACCGGCCTCCGCAGCTGTGTTGCAGGAAGTGCCAGGAGGAGGAGGAGGAGGAGGAGGAGGAGGGCGCAGGAGCCGGAGCCGGAGCGCAGGAGCCGGAGCGCAGGAGCCGGGGAGGGGATTCCTGCAGCGCCGGCTCTGTCTCCATGCGCGTACGTATAATACCATTCTGTGAATCGGGCAGTTAGTCAGACCCATCTCTTCTGATGACAAATGTCACACCTATCACATAGGAGTCCTTCCCATGTAAGCAACATCTGACCGAATTCATTCTTCTATACAACTGGGAAAGATACAGGAGTTCTGCTCCTAATAAAGATGGGAATAATATGTGAAAATATTCTAAAATGCAAAAGAATGTTTACTATCAAGTAACCCTGATGAAATGAATCCTGGATTGATAAGAAACTTTGCAGTTATACAAATAACGAAGCTTGTTTTACGCATGCGCGGGGGTCCGCCATCTTTACAAAATGTTTTGTAAATATTTACAAAATTTCGTAAATATCAAAACTTTTTTTGGGAAAATTTTGTAATTATTTTAAATATCGAAACAAAAAAACACCCCAATTACAAATCGATTTTAGAAACAAATTTTTTCTTGATCAAA